CCTTTCACAGCCTGTTCTTCTACCTGAATAGTCCCCATCCCCTTCTGTCCAACTTTCCTGGCCCGCACCAAGTGTCGCCTCCTCTAAGTTTTCCCAGTTCCCTAAGGAAATTGGTTACTCTCCTCTGTACTGCCATGGCACTTTAGCTGTTATTATTAGGTGCAATGTATCAAGCACTTAATATATGGTAGGCACTGTACTCAGGGCTTTTTATACAATGGATGCATGTTCAGGATTGACTCTTAGGAGCTATTAAGAAGTCATTTCTGCTGTCTGGGAGGTCCCTGCTGTAGTCATCTTATTTGAGAAAGACAAAAGGACCTGAGCATTTTTGCCAAGTTCAGGACACATCTAGTAAAATGATATTTCTTATTTATACATTTGCTTCCACTGAGCATACCACAGAAGTGGGATAACTCCTGGCATGATGAAGAACCAGCTATGCCTTTTACTGGACAGTGCCATGGACCATGTTTTACTCATCAGCTGTCCCAGAAGCAGATTTCTCAGCCCTTTTTTCTCCTCAGTTTTACTCTCCATCTAATAGACATGCTTTGGGTGCCAGCTCATACCTGCAAATGGCCTGTGAGTCGCCATATAATGCTGTGAGCACTATGCAGCTATTAAGCATGGTTTCACTTAAATAGGGGCCAAAAAAGATCCCTGAGGTAATTTGGGAGATGAAGAGAATACGTATCTCTTAAAATAAAGATAGGTTTTTATTTATGTATTTATATACAACTCTCCTTTGCTGGAAGTAATAAAGATAGAAAAGTTGTGACACTCCTATCATGCTATCTAAAAGTTTAGCCACTCGTATGGGCCTTGATTTGAAAGACAGGCCCACCTGGTCTGGTTCCCTATAGGCAGCTCTGAGGTTCTCGTGCTTGGCTTTACGCGGCAAAGAAGGTGAGGCATCAGTCCTCTAACAACTCGTGCAGGTGATTCCAGGCTGACTCTGACCCTGAGGTCATCCCTGGCTTGATCACTCCATGCCCCTAGGAGACCCCCTTCTTCCTTGTAAGGATCAGACAATGCAGTTTTCTGGAAGCCAGGTACCAAGGGAGGAATGCAATAGCAGGTGCCAATCAGTCAGACTGTACTTTTCAAACACTGGAGCAAGACACCCAAAGTTGGATTGGCTTTTCGGCATTTCCAAAATGTTTTAAATCCTAGTCACGACATCATCCAATACTTGGAACCCCTGAATAGATCTGAAAATTTTACTTTGGTGGCAAAGAAAAAAATTTTAAATTCAATTAATTTTTAGATGAAACCATGATAAGATAAGAGAGAGGATCCTAGGACCTGAGTCACTAGGGCCTGTGGCTGTTTTATCATTTACATCCTACACATTTCCATGTGTCATATATTCCTGTGGCCCTTCTTATCACCAAAGACCAAGCTCTCCACCCAGAATTCTGTGGGGTCTATTCTGGGTAAAGTTCCTGCTACTCCCTCTATATTGTAATTTCCTCCTCCAGAGGCATCCAGGACCCCATATTCGACTTCTGCCCTCATGCCCACCTAGAAATGTACTTCATTAAGTTCCTGTTTCCTTTTGGAACGAGGTTGGACAGAAATATACATACATATTTATGTTGGATGTTGGTTATGGTCTTTAGAAATATGTCTCCATAAGATTTTTTTTCTTTTTTTGTCTCCACAAGATTTTAGAAAGTTGAACAAGTTCACTCAAATTAAGCAGTTAATAGCTGCTTAGACTACTGTACCTTTTCTTGGGACATCTAGGTTTTTATTTATTTATTTATTTTAATTGTAGTATAGTTGGTATACAATGATATATGGTTTCAAGTATACAACATTGTGATTCAACAATTACATACATTATTAAATCCTCATTGGGACATCTGAGTTTTAGTATTTTTTAAAGCTAAAAGAAGGGCTTTCTTTTTCCTTTTTTTAAATTGAGGTATCATTGATTTAAATCTTATGAAGGTTTCACACGAGCAACATTGTGGTTTCAACATTTACCTATATTATCAAGTCCCCCCAGACCACCCTGTTGCAATCACTGTCCATCAGCATAGTAAGATGCTATAGTCATTGCTTGTCTTCTCCATGCCCTACTGCCTTCCCGTGACCTATGTATATTGTTTGTGCTAATTACAATGCCTCTTAATCCCCTTCTCTCTCTCTCCCTCACCACCAACCCTTCTCAACCCCTTCCCCTTTGGTAACCACTAGTCCCTAAAAGAAGGGCTTTCTAATGTTGATTTTAGAAATAAATAAGAAGAGGCATCATTTCTGAATAAAAGAGACTGACAAACATACAGATAATTTTGTCAGGCTGATCCCAAATGAAATGGAATAATGGAATCAAAGACTCTCAGAGCCAAAAGGGAGGTAATTTAATGCAAAGATAGTATATTTGAGGAGAGAAAGCAGACACAGAGAAATGAAATGACTTAACAACATCAACAGAGACATTCTTTGTTCTCCATCATTCTTTCTGCCTTTCTTGATTAACTGCACTGTCATGGGGTCATGGGGACCCAGACTACATGTTTCAGAATCCCTTGTAGCTAGATAAGGTCTAACACAAGTTTGTTCTATTTAGCCAATGAGATATAAATGGTAGGTTGTGTTTTGACTATCTAGAAGAGTCCTTCTCCCATTTCCCTTCTCTGGTGGCTGAAATACTGACTTGTTGGGTGGAGATGAGTAGTCACCATGTACTGTGATATGAAAACCATGCACTCTCTGGTGCGCTCAATGTGGGTAGAGCAATGAAGCAGGAGCCTGAATTTCTGAAGCAAGGAGCTCTAGACTAACTGACTGTTAGATTTCTTCATGTGAAAGAAAAAAATGCCCATCTTTGTTTAAGTCTCTGTTGTTTTGAATTTTTGTGTTACTATTAACCACATCTAATGTAAACTGCTATATCGGTAGTCTAGAAGTTTTAATTGATTAGCATGACTTGATGAGGGCAGGATGGGTGATGGACAAAGCTTGATTCTGTCTTAGGGAGAAAAATGCTTTAAATACTTTATGTCAGAGGATCTCAAATACTGATCCACAGACAGCTGCATCAGAAATATTCTTCCAGAGGGTCCCATAAGCCTATATTCCTGGGTCCCTTTTCTGGAGATTTTGATTTAGTAGGTATTCTATGGGGCTCAAGAACTTATTAAAAAACCTCTTCATTTAATCCTGATGTCCAGATACATTTGGAAAGTATTTGAAGTAGAATTGTTATCTGCTAGGGAGGTGAATCAGAACCACCAGAAAAAACAAATTTTCTTCCCCCAATATAGATGCTTCCTTGGGCACATGAGAAAGAGAGGCTGAGAGAGAGGGGAGTGGAAGAATATTTTGATAATCTGAATTCTGAAGCAAGTGATTCCTCAGATTATTTGGTTTTCCTTTCCTTCTCCCATCATCTACCTAGAGTAAGACAAATGTCACCTAATAGAGCATTCTCTCTCACGTTAGCCTTGGTTCCGACAAATCGACAGTGGCATAACTGCATGTGGCTAGTGTTCTGTTTGTTTTTTCTTCAGATTAGATTTTCTAGGAGGAGTTTCATTACTTCCAGTGTGCATTACTACATATTAGTGAACTGTAAATACATTTGTGGTGAAAAGAAATACCACTGAAGTGTAGAAAGAACACACTTTTTAAAGAGTGCAGAGCCTTGCACATCAGAGGTTGACGTTTTGGGGCCATGCAAGAATCTGCAAGGTCAGCAGATTCAGTCAAACAGCTGTCAGCTGAAGTTGGCCTAAAGGCACTTGGGCATACCAGTGGCTCCTCCTGGCAGCAAAGGTGACAGGCACGGGCAGATGGCAGATCAAGGCAGGCATGACACATTCCCAACAGCAGTGGAGCGAAAGGGATTATACTAAGCAGCTTGTCTGCACCAAAGCAATCCTCTTTGGAGAGCTACCATCACTTTGACATGTACAGGCTGCTTTGGCGGCTCTCTCACCTTCGGGTAAGTTAGAAGTTAGAGGAGAAAGACCCTCCTCCAGGAGGGAGCCTAGCATTGATCAGTCTCTTTACAAATCTCAGCATAAAGAAAGTAAAACATATCCAAAGATCCATTTTAAGGCAAAATTTGAAGAGTGCCAAGGATACCAAAGATTTAGTTCTAACTAGGTCACCAACTAACCCAGTCTGAGTCTGGATAAGTCACTTAAACTTTCTAGTTTTTTATTTTCTTATGCGTAGAATCAAAGGGTGAACTTGATGAACTAAGAAATCTCTTTTAAGAGTTGTACAGATTTATATTTATCTTATAGGAAACTATATTGTATGAAAGTGGGTGCAGGTAAAAGCTTCCCTCTGTCGATCATGTGTTTGCTTTTCTCTTAAAAATATAAAAATCCTAAATCCCAACATAAAATCATCAGACAGTCATGAACGTATGTCCACACATGCATACACATAACCTTCAGAACTTGAATTTCTGCAAATTCTTAGTCACCTAATCCCCACAAACTCTGTTGGCATCCTGTTATTCCCACTGAAAGATTCCATTATGCAAATATTTAGGCATGACTTTTAAACATCCACAAACGTTTATTTCACTCTCCCAAGAAACATCATCCAGAGAGCTCAAAACATACCAAGTCCAGGCACTTACTGACAGGATAGCTCTGTGTTCTCATTAATAGGTGGTCTCTGAGCCCTAACTTAGTCTCCTTGGTTGGCTAGAATTATAACCAGAAATGAGATGGAACTATTTTCTTGATTATTGATACTAAAAATGGTCTTGAATGTGTCATAGTGATCACTCCATTTTAACCCTCTGCCCTCCTCAGCTGATACTCCAGCAATGAAACCCTCACTTCTTGAACCTTCCATGTAGGCCTGCTGCAATGTATCCTTCATCCAGAGGCCACTGGCCATGCCAAAGGTTTGAAAGAGAAATGGGCACTCTTCGGAGTCTCAGGACAAGTTTGTAGGTCATAGAGCTCCAATGGATTAAATGCCAACAGCAGTTAGTAAAATAGACAGAAAAAAAACAAACTTACTTCATCCACATGGCCAACAGCTCCATAGATTCTTGCCAGTTGTCCAGTGAGGTAGGGGAATCTCTCACCAATCTCTTTCAGCATGGGGAGAAAACTGTTCAAAGCCACTGGTTCATAGCCTGCTATCTCTATGAGAATGTTTAGGATGATATCATTATGGGTTGAATCCTTCAAATGCTCAATTAAGAAAGGTATACATTTCTGAACCACCTACAAAAACGAAGGAGGGGAGGAGGGAAGAGAGAGAAGCAGAAAAAAATTAATTAATTCAGAATAGATCTAATTTTTTTTCTATTAAATGTGAACTCAACATATTCTGAGACTATCACCCTTGTTAGAACTCAAGCAAATTTCCAAGCCTGGAATTTAAAATTGACAGTAATATTTCAGAGGTTTCAGTTTCTTCTCCTTTTTCTTTTAATTTGCGCTTTGCTGTTGGACAGTAATGTTTACAAACTGCTGAGATGCTGCTCTTCATAAATCAAGTTTGGATACTAAGAATGATACACTTCCTCCAAACTACCATAAAAGCTGCAATTTAAGGGACAATATAAATATGCAAGAGATCTTTAATGACTTTAATCAAAGCTCTCAGTTGGAGAAACATGGTTTGGAAATATTTAATAATAAAAATAAGAAAGCAGGGAAGAGTTCTCAGATGTTCTTCAGCTTCCCATTTTGATCACAAAAATGTAATAAGACAAAAAATGCTAAAGTAAAATAATTTCTACCCAATACCCTAATGTTTATTACCTGTTTTTAAACATTTTTATGAATATAAAGATGCAATAGTTCCTATTAAAGAAAATAGGATCTTTTTGTGGAATAAAGTCACCATGTTAATACACAGACATGTTGTATACTGATAATTTAATGAATTGTTTTGTCTGCTTCAATAAAAGAATTTGAAAGGACAGCTTGTGGAAAACTGAGTCAAAAAAAGTAAAGACTATTACTCAATTGTTTTTCTACTATGTGTATTTCTCTTGTTTGTTGTTGGGTTGTTTTTTTGGTTTGTTAGTATTTGGGTGAGGTAGTCTTGACTTGCAGCCTCCAGTATTAAAACAGAATCTGATGCTCAGCTCAACATGCTGAACTCATAATCTACACCCTGCCAAACACCTGTTCTCCCACCACCCTCTCTAGTCCCAGGGGTCTCCTCTCTCTATAAATGGCACCATTATCTGCCTGGCCACTCAAGCCAGAAATCGGGCATCATTCTTGAAGGCTGTTTTTCTCTCATCAGCAGCTTCATCCAAGCAACCTCCAAGTGCTATTGAGTCCACCTCTTAAGTATCCCACACATCTGTCCACTTCCCTCCCTCCCTCCATCTACTCATTCACGAATACTTATTGAGTCCTTCCTATTTGCAAGGTGATGTTCTAGATGCTGGTATTACAGCTGCTAACAGGTCCAACAGGCCCCTGCTTTCATGGGACAACTCACTGTCCAGTAAAGGAGACATTCAGTATGACAAATAATTACAACATAAATGCATAATTGTGCATTCTAATGAATGCCATGTAGGGAAAACAGAAAATGAGAGAGAGAGACTGTCCTGGGGTCCTAATTTAGGCTGGGGGTCAGGGAAGTCCTCCTCAGCAGGGACATGTCAGCTGAGACCACTGATCCAATCATCCTGCACTGGGCTTATTCTAGCAGCTTCCTAACTATTCCCTTTGCCTTCAGTCTTTTCCATCCAATTCCTTCTCCACCTAGTGGCCACAACGGTGACCCTTCCCTGCTTAAATTACCTGACTAATTTGCCATTGCTCTCAAGGTAGAGGTTTAACATACCTTTCAGACAGACTCCTATCCATCTTTCTAGGTTTATCTCTTCACTCACCTATTTTACTTCCCCCACTATCCAGAACCCATCACATATTACTTCTACCATATTGAATTTTTTAAAACAATTTTCTTGACCTGCAAAGTTTTCTCTTGCATCTAGGATTTTACTCATATAATTCACTCTGCCTGTAATTCTTATGGCTCCTATTTTGCTGGCCAACTCTTTCTCATTCCTGAGGCTTCAGACTAGCAGGTATTTCCTTACAAAGCCCTCCCCAACTCCCCTTGTGCTCCTCTATCCATCTCGTGGCCCTGCCGGAGCTGCCAGCACACCCTAAGTGGCTCTGAGCAGGCCCTTGTTATTGCTCATCACTTCCTTCTTATTGCTGGCCTACATGTCTGTTTTTCAGGCTGGGCTGAAGACTCTACAATGCCAAGAATCAATCTGTACCCCATTGTTTACCCAAAGCTTAGCACAGAGTCTGGCCAGAAAGTAAGTCAACAAATACTTGAGGAACAAATCAAAAGCAAATCTAAATGATTTTACAGGGTACCAACTGAATAACCTCCCCCCATTCCACCCCAGAGTAGTTGAAGAGTTGCACATAATATTTAAACATGTATACATCATGTGTCATATATAACATAGCTAACAGGGACGTAAAAGAAGCCAGTTTCAAGATAAGTAAAGTTATCCTACATATAAATTTAAATTTCATATTCATATCCAGTACCTGTGGGGGAAGGAACAGAGCTAGTTTCTGGTAAATGGCACAGATGAATGAGCAGTCCTGTGAATGCTGCCTGTGCATTTGGGAGCAGTTGTATGTCCTTCAGGAGGAACCACAGTAGATCCTGGCACACACAGCAGACGTCAGCCAGCTGCTCTGGGCCAGGGTAGCACACTTAACCTGAGGCTTTTAGGAATGGAAAACGCTTACACATTTCCTGCTCCATTCTATAAAATTTCATTTTCCAGTCCTTCCTCTTCATATCCTGTTCCTGGGACACCAAGTCTCTGTGACATGGGCTTCTAGTCATGCCAATTTTATTTACACTCCAGCCATACATCTCTAGCTATGCAAGAGTATATTGTATCTATTGCACTATAAAGAAAGTACAAAAAAGAAAAATAAAGCAAGCAAGCTAGCTAGCTAGTTCAAGGCAAACATATATATGTAAGCAGAGTTGAATCCATAGAAAGACCAAAGAGAACTGAAGTCCTGAATAATGTAAACAAAGCAATAATTTTACCACATTAAATAAATGATTATTTTGCAGTTATTCACTGACAAAACCAAAGTTTGTTCTGATGGTGATAGAAAAGATAGATGTTTCTTGAAGTTTATGACACACATGAAAGGGAAGTGGTGCTTTAGGTTTAGATAGATTATTCTTGGATAAGAAGGAATTTTATTTTCCAAACATAGGGCATTCCCTTAGGCTGGTCTCTTCAGTGATGCTTCATCCAGTGGAGCTACTTCATATCTCAGAGGAAGCCTTGTCTCCTCTAAGAGCAGAGTAGCCACTAAGACAATGTTGATGGCTGACGCAGAGCAAGCTGATACAGCCTTTGCTCAGGCTGTGAGCCCCATTCCACAGACCACTGAAAAAACTTACTTCTAAACTGGTCTTCTAGCCTCCAGTTTCTCTCTTCCATGCAGCCTCCTCATGGACACCAGAGTTATTGTCCTAAAACCCCACCTGATCATGTCAAGCCATCAGAGATTTCCCATGGCCCGTGGACAGAATTCCAGAGCCACGGCTTTACTGGGCCTTCGCTGAGGAGCGTATCCGCTGCCTCCTTCCCCGTGGACCCTCTGATCCAGCAACATGCCACTGACTATCCACAGTGGCTTGAACACAGAGAGAACACTCACGCTTTCAAAGCCGATCTCAGCTCTACTTCTGGGAAGTCTTTCCTCCAGCTCACTCTCACCTAGGCAGGACCTGGGGCTAGGGTAGAAGTGGACCCTCCATACAACATACTTCAATATTCAGCAGCTATAAAACATGTTCTATCCTTCTACCTGCTGACACATATACCTTCACAAAAATCTGGTAGGCTTGCTTTGAGTTTAGAATTTTTGGCCTCTGTAGAAAAAAACAGAGAGAAATGACCCCCTTTCTTTGCCTCTCCCTTCTCTGCCCCTCTGGCTTTGTCCTGCAAGGAGTCTCATACGCAAGTATGTGAACACCCCTGCCCACATCTGTGAACTTATCTAGGAAACCCCTCAGACCTAGGGGTCACACTGTTGGCATGGACTGTTCTTGGGAGAACAGATCCAGTGACCAGGCCTGTACAAGTCCTGGTTGAAAATATAAAGGAAAGGGATTCAAGGTCCTAGGTACCTGGACTGTGCTTAGTAGGTGACGGAGTGGATGGGAACTGGGGCACAGTGGGGAAGGGCTGGACCAGAACCCTCAAAGCACATAGCCCAGGGAAGGGTCCTCTCCCTGGCTTCTCTGGTCCTTTCTGAGCAGAATTAATCACTGCCTTTTCTGTGCCCCCATAGCAGTCTGCTGACAGGTTAACACATCTTATCATTGTGCTAAAGTTTTGTGGACATATCTCAACACCCCAGGCCATGGATGGGCACCTTAAGGGTATGGCCATCTGTAAAATAATGGCCACCCTTACTCCCACCATGCTGACACAGTATGTATTCTGAAAACCATAGTTCTGCACCAAAGACGGTTGTACAGCAGGCTATGTATCCATCACTTCATCTTCTTAATGTTCTGCAAACGGCTTCTTATTTGATGTAAGTACCAAAAATGACCTCTGATTCTTGTCAGCCTGGAACGCTGTTAGGTGCTGTAGGATTGGGCATGTGGATAGGTATGCTCTAAGCTGCAGAGAGAAAGTACAAGAAAATGACTCTCTCTCCCAGGGACCAGACCACATAAACAGCATCTCTGGGTCTGGACATGAATCAGCGGACAGCTGAAGTGGCCACTTTCTGCCACTCATCTCTGTATGATTGGGGCTAGAAGCCCAGGTGCTGGGATAGTAATACATGTGCTCATATGTGTTACTAAATTGTTTCTTTTGTTGGCTAGATTACAGTGTGGTTTATGGCAGCCAAGAATACTGACAGTCCCAAAAGGCTACTGGGAAAACTGACCACCCAGCCTTTTCCTATAAATGGATCTTGAGGATTCTCTGTAGGTTTTGAGCCATGAATCACTAGCAAAGAACTGCCTCCCTCCACCTAGGAAGGATAGTTTCCTGAAAGAGGAATACCCAGAGGGCAGAGGCCGAGGAAGTGGCCCCACCCACCTAGCCCGCCACCTCTGAAGCTCACGATTGAGTGGATATTGAAGCTGTGCCACTTGTGCAATCTCATGGACTAATCAGCTGTACATAGAGGATTTTTTTTTGTGGGCCTACTGTTTACCCTCCAACCCCAGAAAG